CAGTGCATGGCCAATCCATCTCCACTTCTTCCTGCATATTTGTTGCGTGATAGGTTCTTGGTTGGTTCGTTCCCAGAGTTCCTTGTTGCTTATTTTTTCTGGCCATCTGATCTTCAGCAGCGAGCGTAAGCAGTTGTTGATGAATGTCTGTAGTTTATTGGAAATACCTTTCAAATACCTTTCATCGAGAGAAGACACATCGGCCAATTGGCTTCCCGAAGACAGGCTTTCACCAACTGGCGTCATTTCGCCTCTCCGATTCCAGCGGGGAATAAGTCTGTTTTCATTTTTTATATTTTCTTTGTGCTTTGAAGTTTGTTTAGCGGTTAGATTTGTTTTACGGGGTAGGGTTGCTAGCCCTATGCCCAACCTTCCCTCTTTACCCGGGCTTAGGACCGGCTAGTAACTAGTAAACTAGTTAACCAGGCGAGGTAAAGCAGGCTACCATGTTCTTATTGGTTATTCATGTTGGTTACAGTAGAAATGTATCCAGTATTTAAAACCAACAGAGAAAACATTCTCATCTATAATTAAGGGAATTTAAGTTTTAGATATTCATGTTTACTTTTCGAAAGTAATCTCATATACAGGCTTATTTCTTTTTAATGTATTGATAGAAAGCAAAATGCATATTTATATTTAGAAGTAGTATTGATCATGGACTAGACTGACATTAGTTGAGGAGCCATTGAAAATCTGGGAGCACTGAACAGCTGTTTCATCTGACTAGTATGCGACTATTCAGCAGTACACACCCACAACCTGGCTAGGGATCGAACTCAGGACCTTCAGGTTTCACGGCGAATGCTTTAACCATTCAACAATGCATATTTCTCTCTTCGTTACAACATATAATTGAAAAAGATTGAAAATTGAATTATTTCTTGATTGGTCAACTAAGTTTCGTTAGACATCAAACTATATTCCATAATCTAGACATTTTGTCACCGACCTATGAGTGTCAGGGGATTGGAATATTCTGTGATATCACACAATAAACATGCATAGATAATATAACTAGTCTTTAAGTATCATTTTTGGTTTCTAATGTAAACATATAAACTTGCATATTATTAAGTACTTATCATCACTACGTTGAGTTACAATATCTGCAGATGAGTACTGCACAACGGAATGTACAAGTTCAAACTGAGAGGATGCATTTCCTAACTATATTCAGAAAATGAAGAGAAAATGTATGATATAGTGAAGGGTCAAGTTGTTAGCTAAGAGGTCAAAGATAGTATATTGGTCATGATTGCATTAGAGTTCAGTTATTAAGTTAGGTTCAACTATTTCTACGCTTCGATCTTGTATCTTCTCGTCAACTTAAGAGGCTGAGAAGCGAGGAAGAAATGAATTATTCATGATGATATTCATCATGGACTGACATCAGTTGGAGAAACTTCTGTCATTTCACGATATATTACTAGCATCATCCAATGTCATTGTTGAGTGTTTGTCTTCACAACCACAAGGTTTACCACTGAACGATGACCTTGGGTGGTGGTCGCGCTATATCGTGAATTGACAGAAATTGGAAATATGGACCATTGGATTCTAATCCAGTGACTTAATAGCAAAGTGCTGACAAAGGAACCTAAATGTTATGGGTTTCATATCAGGCGGCGTCATCGGTGGTCACTGCTGAAGAGTTCAATTCTGGGACGAAGTTCTCAATGTTTCTCCAACTGATGTCAGTCCATGATGAATAACAATTTCAAATCAATAATAATTCCTCACAAACCTCCAAAATGAATACTTTTTTTGTGATTATAAGCGACTTCAAATCTGATAAAGGTGAATTTCTTCCTCCGTTATATCTCTGATCTCTAAAGTGTTAACTGAAATACTTCATGAAAGGAGAAGTGCTCGAGTGAAGGCTTCTTTCGCCACATTATGGTTTCTTTCTTTGATTCAAATAATAATCAAGTGAACTTCATGAGATCTTCTATAAATCAACTTTTTTCGTTAGACAGAGTAATGATCAAAGATGGATAAAAACCATATTCCCTGTTGTTCTATAAATGGAAGAGATTAGTTACTTCAAATATTCTAAGAGTTCGGTTATTCTTATCCAATTCCTTCTAGTCAATCTCATAATCATTCGAGGAAAACTAACTGAGAAGTTGTAGAGTGTGGAAGTAAACAGAGGCGTCCTCCTTTTCGAACACAACCAATAGGTAAAATATTCATCAATTGAATTCTGACAACAGGTACTGTAATCAGTGATTGAGAGATTATTGAGTTGGAATTCTCTGTAGATTAACTGTTGATAGACAGCTTCAAGCCTATTTTAGTCCTTTTCTAGTAGATTTGTGGGCTTGTTTATTCGTCTTTTCAAACGATTCAAATGATAAAGTGGACACCCCTTCTTCATGTAGTTAGTTTCAGTAGCTGATTACTGGATGCAATAACTAGTAGTACTGTATGAAGACTACGTTGTTCCTTTGCTGTTATGTCCTTTTGCTATTTCCAACCGAGTAGAAAGGAAAAGAAAGGATAGATCAGGTCCAAAGTCACTTCTTAAAATCCTGCGTAACTTCATTAGATCTCCACTGTGTCTATAAATGAGACTTTGACAAGAGGTTCAGCTCCTTAAGTTGTCCTTTTTAGGTCAGGCTACCAGTCACAGGAATCATTTTAGTGGTTGTCCACTGAACTCATTTCACATTTAAATCAGTATTGGTTACAGTTAGTTGAACAACCTATATGATGACAATTTAGTTTCTTCAAATGATTACAAATTATTTCGTCAGTATCGAAAATGTGGTGAAGGTGTAGCTGCCTTTATCAACACTCAATGGTGTTCATCAAATTGTACATGTTTTGTGTATTCTAATGACGGTATAGACTGTATCACTGTTAAGTATCGTCCCAAACATTCTGATAAATTTGTCATTTACATCATCAGTGTTTACGTGATTCCTGGATGCATCTATTCTGATTTATTTTAATTTGGTATTCATCGTGGACTGACATCAGTTGGAGAAACAATGGAAACCTGTGGGCACTGAACAACTGTTTCATCTGACCAGTTTGGGACTCCTCAGCAGGCGTACCCAAGACCCCACCAGGGCTCGAGCCCGCAATCTTCACGTTCCGTGGCCAGCATGTTACCATTGAGCCACTGGGTCAGAATCCAATGTTCTATATTTTTAACTTCTGTTAGCTCACGATATAGGGTGACCGCCACCCAATTTCATCGTTGAGTAACTGTCCTCACGACCATCAGGCTTTTCCCCCACCTGTCACGACTTCTCATTGGAACTTCGGGAATACCTCTCGAAGCTAGTCACCAATGAGCACCAGTTCGATTGAATTTTGAGGGAGTTGATAATATTGACCCTTTGATTCTGACCCAATAGCACAATTGTAACGTGCTGGCCATGGAACCTGAAGTTCGCCGGTTCGACTCCTGGTGAAGTCATGGATGCTCACTGCTGAGGCATCCCATACTGGTCAGATGAAACAGCTGTCCAGTGCTCACAAGTTTCCATTGTTCCTCCAACTGATGTCAGTCCACGATGAATAACAACTAGAAATGAATTGTCGAACGCATGAAAGGCAATTAAAATAGTTCCAGTACCTAAGTCCATGTCTTGTGGAGCAAACGTTAGATTCCGATCGATCACAATAACCTCACCATTCCTAAAAACAATGGGGAAAAAACTGTCATTTTGTGTGCTTTGACCTCCGTTTGAGGCTTTCAGAGATCCATTTAAACTTGCCTACCAACCCTGAAGAAGTACTTTAGATGCTGACGTTGTTATACATAATATCATTGCCAGTCTAGATAAAAGTATGTTAGATCTGTCTTCTTAGATTATATTTCTGTCTTTGGCTGTCCTTAGATCCCTTTTATTAAACAAGCTTATCAGGTCTCACATTAATTGGATTGCCAACTGACTTGTGTATACACACATTATCCTCATCTTAACGACGCTATATCGAATCTCACCATTTTCTCTTTTCGTACAATATATTTCTCTTTCAACTAAATTTTCTTTTCTTCATCTTCTACTTCACTGCCTTTTTACTTGATGTGGTGATGTGAGGTGTTGCAAGTTGGACCGTTACACAGTAATGCCTGGTCCTATGTTGATTTGGATGGATGGAATAACGGGATAGTTGTCAAGTCCCTGAAGTCACTGAACATTTCAACAATCCTGTTATTGATTATTATGTGTGGTTAACCAGTACCATTGTTAATGTAGATTTGAAAAAAATGTTTTACAACGAGTTAAGTGATGTAATATGACATGCTGAGAATTGTGTACTTTAAACATAATTATGGTTTATATAATTGTTTTTTATATCATACCGTCGTTGATTGGAACCAATTGATCGGTCTCTTTTGGTAAATGGGATCCTGTGCGGATGCCTGTGATCTTATGATAGTAATGATGGATATTGGCTGCAGTGGAATCCAGGATGTGCATGTCGTCTTATTTGGGACTCGTCAGCTGGATGTACCTGCTTCCCGGTGTAATGTTTTTCCCACCGGGATTCGGACTCAGGAGCGATCGCTGACGAATCTTAAATGGGACGAAATGCGCATCCTGGATTCCATTGCTAGCCACGATCCATCACTGATATAATTAGAAGGCAGGCAGTATCAAGGCATCTGCACAGGAGCCCATATGCCAATAGAGACCAATCAATTCGGTCCAATCATCGACGGTATTATATAGAAACATGTATACTAAAAACTATACCCATCGCACAAGAAGTGACTATCGTGGCTTGGTGGTGTAGTGGATAACAAACGCTCTAGCGTTTGAAGCGACCGCCCCCGAGTTCGAATCCCGGTGGGAACAACATCACTCACTAGGGAGCAGGTACATCCAGCTGAAGAGTCCCAAATAGGACGAAATGCACATGCTGAATTCCCCTGCTAGCTACTATCCATCATTACTAATATAATTATGGTGTTGATACTCAATAATTTCATTTCCGAATAATTATAAATGAAATGTAATCATTATTCTCTTTTTCAGTATTCATCTATTCATTATAATCCTATTTCTGAACAAAAACTATTCTCATCTCAACAAGGCTTATATAACAATTTACAAACAATAAATTTTGATAAACGTTTACAAGCTATGGAAATGAAATTACGTAATCTTTTTACTGAAGGAAATACATCAAATATTTTAAGTAAATATGCTATAAAAATAGTAACGGAAACTTATCATCCTATTGAATGTACAAATCAACATTGTACAGATTTTTGTCAAAATGCTGAATATACACCGTCAAAAATGAATGAATGCTTACATTTAAATTTGAATGGATTACAATCTTGTAGCCGTTGTTTAAATCCATCAGCTCGTAGTCAGTGTACTATTCAAACACCTAATGCGTTCAATAAAAGTAATTATTTCATGTTATCATTGAATTCGTTTATTCATTTATTTGAACAATACAAGAACAAAGACATTATTATTATTATTATTATTATTATTATTATTATTATTATTATTATTAGTGACTTGAGTTCCTAGTGGAACATACGGCTTCAGTAGCACGTCTCAGCCCAGAAGCTGTCATTTCTTCCTCATACGATCTACTCCATGTTACCCTCGGACGCCCATCTCGGCGTTTCTCATCTGGTTTCCACTCAACCGCCTGGCCTGGCGCGTGATATCCCCAGTCAGCCTTCTCAGTGTATGCCCAATACATCTCCACTTCCTTCCACTGTATATTTGTTGGATGATAGGTTCTTGGTTACTTCGTCACCAGTCAGAGTTCCTCTTTGTTTATTCTTTCAGGTCATCTGATCTCCATCTTCAGTATCTAGCCAGCATAGTTTGATGGAGATACTTTTCGTAATGCGCCAAGTTTCTGAACTATATAGAAGCACCGACTTGCCATTGGTGTTGAAAATTGGGATCTTGCTCACGCTTTATGCTGAGTGTAGAAGATCTGCACACTGGTTTCAGGTTAATGAAAGCCTGTCTTGCTGTCTTTCCGATCCTGGCTGGCTTTGACGTCCTTGTCCGTGTTGTCTGTAGTTGAAACAGTGCTGCCTAGATAGGTGAAAGAGACTACCTCCTTTAACTTTCTCCCATTCATGGTGATTGGAGCTTGTTGTTGTCGTTGGTTGGTTGGTTGGGTATCTTCATCACCTGTATCTTCTCTACATCCACTTGAAGTCCCGTCTTCGCTACCCTGCCTTGCCCTGCCTCTTATGTCAAGTTGTTAGTTTTCGCCTGTACATCTTCGAGTTTGTTTGACACTAGACTCAAGTCATCACTGGCGAAATCTGAATCTTCTATGGTGTTTTCATCGGTCCAGCGTATCCCCTTCTTCTCGCTTCTCACTGTTTGCTGCATGATCCAGTCGACCACAATCAGGAAGATGATCGGTGATAGTAGACAGCCTTGTTTTACTCTTGTCTTTACTTTAAAAGCATCACTGAGCTTTCCATTATGAATCACTTGGCATGTGACGTCTTCATACAGCATACAGCTACTGCTGAATGCGGTTGATAAATGTTTGTAGCACTAAAAGACCTTTCTACCATTTAAACATCCTACTATGTACTTGCTTCCACAAGCACATGTGAATTGATATACGCAGTTGAAGATGACATGAGATGGATATTTGTTTACTTTCGACTGTCTTATTGAGCATAATTTATTGTAAACTGAGATCAATCTTGCAGTAGGGAAGCTCCTTCTCAGTTCAGCTTTCATTCTTTTGCCCATTCTTTCAGACGTCTTATCACTTTTGAATGCTAGACGAAGGAAAACAGGTTTCTTCTCAACAGTTGGATGTTTTGGTCTCTCAGTATGTTCCTTTCCATGTTTCATGATGAATTTCTTCAGATATCCATTCTCTATAAGAGCCTTCTCAATTATCACGAATTTTTTCTATTGTTTTTATCTCAAGAGCGCAGCCTTTTTATTCTAGTGAATAACGTCTTGACTAAACTACACTTATAGTTGACTGGACAGAAGCTATTGTAGTGAAGGTACACTGACCAATCTACGTGTTTTTTCGGTGGATAGTTTTCTCAACTCCATGTCATACTTAGATCCAAAAAATTGAATCTGTCCTCATTTTCGTAGTCCATTGTAAAATTAATATTTAGATGACCTCGACTAAAGGTGTCAAACAGTTTCGATACTATTATTACTACTACTAATACTTCACTTCAGTTGTAAGCTGTTTGCAGCTGATGAAAACCTACGAAATAGAATGAATTTATCCTTTTTCCTACTAATCAATCCACATTGTTAATATGAAAAAATATTTTTTCATTTAGATTTGTAATTTTTTGTTACTGTATTTGATCAAATTGCTTGATCTCTGTTAACAGATGAGGATGAATGTCTCGACACTATCAGGATATTCATTGTGTTGTAGTTTACTTGGAGGCTAACAGTACAATCTAGAAGGTATGTTTCGTCCTGATTTGAACTCGCCAGTTGGATGTACGTCCATCCCAGTAAATGATGATATCCCCACTGGGATGAAAACTCAGTATCAAACACTTCAAATGCATAAACGTTATCCATCAGACCAGTGACGTATGAAATCCATCTCTTATACAAAGAGTACTAGTTGTCATTGATTGCTCCTTGTAACTTCCTCCTGCTTTATTGTATTGAGGTGGTTTTCTTGCCTCAATGACTTAGTAAATAACGCTTTAACGTTTCAAGCGATTGGTACTTGATTCATATGTTAGTGGGAACACCATCACTCACTAGGATCTCAGTACATCTAGCTGATGAATCCTAAAAGGACGGAACGCACATCTTGAAGAAGATTATTTGCTGATAGTACTCCTTGAGATCATTTTAGTTTGACAGAATCATTCTGCTCCTCAGGTAAGTGTTGAATATAATCAAAATACAACATATCCCGTTGCCAGCGTGGGAAGAAGTTACTGCTTTTTGAATGTTGAGGTAATTGTTTCTTTTTACCAGCAACTGTAATCCTCTGAGACTAAGAGTGTTGATCCTCATTGGCTTTCCGTCGTCAAAACATACATCGTGAACTGATAGAAGTAGGAAATATGAACCAGTGGCTTAGTGGTCACTTGCTGACCATGGAACCTTAAGGTTCTGGGTTCGATCCCGAGTTGGATGGGCGAGGTCATAGGTGCGCAATGCTGTGAGGACTCTCACACCAAGACAAAACAGCTGTTTATTGCTCACAGGTTTCCAGTGTTCCTCCAACTAATGTCAGTCCATGATGAATACCAACCTGAAAGCATACTCAGTTTTTATCAGTTGCTTAAGTGTAGTATGATCACAAGTTATGAAGAATCAATAATAAATTACCAGTTCAAGCTCTATATGTATCAGTTTTGAAGTCTTTCTAAAAAGAAAACTGATGTCAGATGCAAACGATAAGTAGTTGTGTAATAATTACATTTCATACTGGGTAATAATTGAGGACGAAAATTTGAAGCGTGACCGGACTCGAGCCAGCGACCATCTTCAATCATCATCCAGCATAAAATACTAATCTGCCAAACTAGGTCTATCTCACTCAGATAGTCAGATGATAATTACATCTGAGTTTAAATACAATCCAAACTTATCATGTTGATAAAAAAAGCCTAATGCCTTAGAACCATTGAAAACCTGGGGGTGATACATAACTGTTTCGACCTGGCATTGTACTCAATAGAGCTCACCCATGACCTCACCAAAGATAGAACCCTTACGAGCACGTTACCATTGAGCCACTCGGTCAGAATTCATTTTCTGACTCCTATCAGTTTACAAAATAGTGTAATCTTCATCCAATATCATTGCTGATTATTTCACCTCATGTGAGACTTATCTTGTCCCACCGATGACGACTGTTTACTAGAACTATAGAAAACTTTTCAAAGTAAGTTAGTAATGAGTAATGGATTATGATTCAATTTTGAGGTGTGTCAGGATCCATTTATCGATTTCATTTTGGTATCCATAATGAACTGACAGCCGACAGGCTATCTCGTCCTAATATAGGAGCCCTCATCATTAACGGGCACTCGACCTCCAGATTTTGCAGCCATTTCCATATCTGTCTACATGAATATCGACTACCAATGTGACGTCACAGCATATCTTCGCTCATATCAATGCATACCGACAACTCTATGGATATGAATTTGACTGGGAAAATATGAAAATCCTGTCTGGATAGAAGAAATACAGGGAATGCTTGGGAATTTTTAGTAGCTTGGTATTCAGGTCAGTCAGCCGCTAACAGACATATTGACATTGACACAATCTACCAATCAATACGAAACAACAAGGTCAACCTTCTGGTTATCGGATCAACCAATCAAAGTAAACATAAAAGCAGTAACAAGACCTTGGCATGAATAACGAATCACAAGCAAGGCCATCGGGACAAGCTACTAAATAAATTATGGTGAAACACAATGTCAAAGAAAACTCAGATGAAAATGTCAACTAAGATGTTGGTATTCTTCTTGGGATTTCAACTCATACATTGGTTTGCTCAATTATCAAAACATTGTTCGCTAGCAGTCAGCTGAGTTCTACTGTTTGTCTTTTGTGTTCATTGTTGACTTATTTCTAAAAAATGATTGATATCTTCAGATCTTTCTGTGTTTCAATAGCAACCAATGTAGCGGACTAATCATAAATAGAATAAAACGTTTAGGTTTTATCATATTACTGGTCACAATTGTAAAAAGTCATTAACGTAACAAAATCCATGAGAATGTTGGGCACATCTATACTTGTAAGTGCGTATATCAACAGAAATGTGTATATTCAGCCCATAAAATATGCAATTAAAAAAACCCATAGAATATTACTCAACAACTGAAGGTTCGTAGAGAAGTAGAACAATTTAACGCCCATTTGTAAAGATGTTCAGTAATAATGAAGTTTATATATGTCGGATCACCTGAAGTGTAGTATCTCACTATAAACACTCCAAAAATTCAACCACCTACATATCGCAGCTCGCTTACTCAGTTGATTACTGACTGATTACGAGACAAATCTCTTCAAGTTCTTGATGGAATGTATTATCTACAGCGTCAGCTGAACCACTTATTCGAGTACACGTCTACCTATAATAATGAGAGATGCTAATACTATGTTGAAAATATACACCGGCTGGGGGAAGATAAACTCTCCAGTGAATAACCAAGGTGTGTAATCCGGTCCAACAGGATGATATGGGTTCGAATCTCAGAGGGGTCATCACTTCCCTAAAGATTGAAGATATATATGCCTTGCTGAAGAGTCCTGATAGGCATGAAACCTAGGTTCAGGGTTTTTTGTCATATCCCTGTATCAAAGTAACATCTATCTAAGTGCACCATGATTGTAAACCTTCTAGCTCGGTGACCGTATTACATAATGGTCGATAGGGCTAGACCATAGGAATTTAGTTGCTCTCCAGTGAAGGTTGCAGCTTGAATCCTTCATAGGTTATTACATGTCCATTACCAAAGAATTTCAAACTAATATGAAACAGTTATTCAGTTCATGTTTTTAATAGTTATCAAAATGTATTTTTGAGATGAATGGGGATTTTTTATTTTAGAAGTAGTATTCATCATGGACTGGCATCAGTTGGGGAACCATTGAAAATCTGGGAGCACTGGACAACAATTTCGTCCTAGTGTGGGGCTCATCAGCAGCACGCAGTTATCAAAATGATTTCACTCTATGATATAAGAAATCGCCTTGAAACTTACTACACTCAAATCAAACCTTAGCTGCAATCTAGTAGATAGTACTAACCAAATTTCACTGATCAGAACCGACGAAGTGCTAATCTTAATTAAACGTATATGAGAGTTGATAATCTTTACGGTTGGTTGGTCATCAATAGCTACAGTCTATAAACGAATACAAACTGCTTACTTAAACTTCTGATTAGTAGGTATCGTATTTGAGTCTCAGCGGGAATAACATCACCCATTGAGATACAGGTAAACTCAGCTGACGAATTCCAAGCAAAGCAAAACACATGTCAATCTAGATTCCTCTGTTAGTCACCAACATGAATATCCGGCAGTATCAAGGCATCTGCATAGAATCCCATCTGTTAACAGAAGTCAAACAATTTGACTCGGTTTAATAATTAAATATTTAATGTTCGAAACAGCTAGTCTCTTTTATAAATTTAGACAATTTAGTTAGAAGGTGAAGTTTATTCAAACAATGCGAATGATGAATGTATTTCGACAATGCACATTTCAAACTATCTGATCACACATTTGCCTGTCAAATTAACTTAAATGAAACTTAAGGATACTTTTATAGATGCAAAGGTGGTTTCAATTTACGTATGGCTATCACCTATGCAAATCTCCGGATGCGTCCCTGACAGTCTGTTTCTATATAAAAGCAATATGAAATCTGTTTGAACACTAGTTTTGTGATCCGTTTCTATAATATGTTTGGCTATAGATGAAGAGGGTCGTCACCCACCTACACTTATCAAAGTTTTACACTCCATATATTTTTCAAGCCATTCAGGTACATGTTCTCTCATCATCAACTACATGGTTCGATTGCTCCTCCCTCTGTATGTGTGACCACGTTCACACACATGTAAACTGGTAAACACAATGGAGTATGACGTAATCATTGATGCAGTGTTAAGGTTTTTGGAGAAGCATATGTTTTGTAGCCTTCAAAACAATAAACTTAGCTGCATAATATGGCTGATGGCAGCCTACTCCTCAGAATTACACTATTCAGCTCCCCTGTATGTGTTTGAATGATATGGATATTTTTCTTAGAAATCCAGTATAGAGTTTGACTTGGGTGTTACCTGACTTGTACAACGGTGAATAAATTTCAGTGGATATCCGTTTTTTATAAGTGTTTTGGTCAGTAATTTGACATATTCATCGATCGTATCTGATATACAAAGAGTCATTTTATTTGACCTCACTTGGATTGGATTGGATAGAAACTGTGAACATTCAGGTGTTGTTCAGTGCATATAGGCTTCCTGTAAACTGATCGTCTTATTGAACCATCTTCTCCTCGACTAGGGAGTATATCTAAGAATGACAATTGAGTATTATTCTCTTTCTCACAAGTTAATCTGATGTGAGTTTGTATGGTGTTAAGTCTTTTTCGTAGATAAGCCATATCGTCATAGCTTTCACATATCACTATGATGTCATCAATATATCTGTTGTAAAGATGAACTTTAGCGATGAGACCATCAGCTGTAATTGAGACTTATGATATATAAACATCAGCTATAGTAATGATTCTACGGGACTATCCATAGTTACACTGTGAACTTGTTGAAAGCGTTCAGCTTCAGATGTGTAGTTCCCTTGGAAAAGTTTGAATAATAAGGAATGGGAAGTTTCTAGAAGATATATAGTCACAGAGAATGTTAATAATCTTGGACAACAGCACATTAGTGAATAAAGAATTTACATCAAAAGATATCTTGATATCTTCATCCATCGTATCGGGTGTACAAATATGATAGATCCTATCAAAGAGGCATTCGATTAGACTTCATTTGTAGTGGGTTGGACAAAGGCTGTGAAAATTCAGGTATTACCTTCTCCATGTAGGCTTTTTGTTCGGAGTATACTCTCTGTGACTAAAAAGTACATATATGAATGACAGACAATTATCACTGTCTTTCTCACCAATCAGGCTAATATGAGTTTGTATGAAGCTGAGTCTTTTCAATAAATTAACCATATTCATATGCCTCTCACAAATCACTGTGATATCGGTATATCTCTTGTGAAGAGTGCTGTGATGCCTCTGTTTTGTATAAAACATTGTTATTGATCCGAACATTTTAACGTGTCATTCCCATACCATTTTTACAGCATGACTAATAGTCTATTTTCTGCCCCCATTGCAATACAATTCGCTGATTGGTTAATCTCTAGTCTTACTATGCAAATGCCTCAAATTGAGTACAAGGTCATTTTTCACGTGTAAACTTATTCACCTGTTTTGGATTGATTCATTGTTATTATATTCTCGGAGTAATAGTCTCCCATCTGCGAGGTTTGGTCTTCTCTCTATTCGTCCCGGAGTTGCAGTCAGTGTCTCTTGTGAACCAAGTTAGCTGTCAGCTAAGCGCTCGTATTATATTCGTTCCGGAACATATATGCATACGCCCATTAGCTTTCGAAACCATAACAGTGGCGACGGGGAGGGATCAAAAATGAACTTTTCGAAGCTCGACAAAATTCTCGAACTACAGATGAAGATTATCGAATTATTAGCTCAGTCCAGAATTCCCACGCAAGAACCAACTCCAACGTTGAATGATATCGCTGCTGAATGCCAATGATCGATGAACCTACAACGGGATACAAGTTTAGTCCAATCCGGACGCCAGGGTGATCATGAAGTCCTTGCGGTTCACCAGAAATCTAATTCTTCTGCATCCTTTTCTGGCCCAAAGACCAGCGGTTCTTCGTCTCCTATTCATCATCCCGGCAGCTCATACAATACTAGAAGAAACATGAAGAAGACCCCCACCATCTCCCTGCTGGCATTGTGACACATGCCATTTCGTTAAATCTTGTCCTTTATACGCAGAACAAAGGCAGAGATTGTAATACTGTGGGTCACAAGGACGGATTCTGAAAGCAGCCCCCATCACAGAATAGGCAGGTCACAATCCAGTCACCGTCGAAAATCGAAGTCTCGACCAGTCGGCAAATCTCTTAGTCTTACTGCTGCTTTTCAAGCACATGCATCAGCACGGAGAAAATATATCATCATCCAGACAAATAACCATTTGGCACGACTGCAAATCGATACGGCTTCCAACATAACGATTATTTCCAAGAAGCTATGGTGGAAGACCGGTCGACCTCCTCCCCAGAAGATGTACAGATCGAAATCGGTCCTCAACAGTTCAGTTCCATCTGGATCCCAAAAAGCGAAGGTATTAAGTTTCCTGATTTTTTTTCAAAAAGGAGGCGTTGTGATGCTTTAGTTTTGTATAAAACATTGTTATTGATCCGAACATTTTAACGTGTCATTCCCATACCATTTTTACGGCATGACTAATAGTCTACTTTCTGCCCCGATTGTAATGCAATTCGCTGATTGGTTAATCTTTAGTCTTACTATGCAAATGCCTCAAATTGAGTACAAGGTCATTTTTCATGTGTATACTTATTCACGTGTTTTGGATTGATTCATTATATTATATTCTCGGAGTAATACAGTCTCCCATCTGCGAGGTCCGGTCTTCTCTCTATTCGTCCCGGGGTTGCAGTCAGTGTCTCTTGCGAACCAAGTTAGCTGTCAGCTAAGGGCGCGTATTATATTCGTTCCGGAACATATATGCATACGCCCATTAGCTTTCGAAATCATAACAAAGAGAAACTTTAGTGATGTGGTAATCGGCCAGATTGTCGATATATGATATAGAGGTATGGCCTAGTTATGGACTTAACAAACTTTATCGGCACATAGCTATGCTAACTCCATTTGTCTTCTAATCCTTCGATAAATGTGTGTGATCTTGGAAATATTTTGTGTAAATACATCATACTTAGTATTCTACTAAATATTCTATGTTATTCTCATTTATATAGATTCACAGTTTGATAAATCAGTACAAACAACAGACTATGATCGTAAAAATGTGATCATGAATTCAATATGTAGTCGAAATAAAACACTTACAGGTGAACATCAAATGGTCGCCAATTCAGTTACATCAGATTGTATGGGCATGATGAAGAATTCACTAATTGTACCTACGTAATTCTACGTTTTATTCTCTACTTAACTTTTGAATTATAGCTCTCCTGATAATTCATGTGTAATTAAAACAAATCTTCTCAATAATAATAATGATGATGCTGAATCCATTTCAAAGGTAATATTATCTTTGGAAATATTTAATCCATATATTATATTGTTATTACTATTATTTGTGCCTTGGGTTCCTAGTGGAGCATAGGGCTTCAGTAGCACGTCTCAATCCCACTCTGTTCTCCGCAATCTTTTGAACCTGGCTCCACGATGCCCACAAGCTCTAATTTCTTCCTCACACGATATCCTCCATGTTACCCTCGGACGCCCAACTCATCGTTTCCCATCTGGGTTGCACTCGACTGCCTGGACTGGCGCGTGATGTCTCCGAATGATCTTCTCAGTGTGTGCCGAATCCATCTCCATTTCTTTCCACTGCATATTTGTTGAGTGATAGGTTCTTGGTTGTTCGTCACCAGCCAGAGTTCCTTGTTGCTTATTCTTATTATTCTGGCTATCTGAGCTTCACCAACGAGCCAGCGTAGGCAGTTGTTGATGAATATCTGTAGTTTGTTGAAAATCCCTTTCCTAACCCGCCAAGTCTCTGAGCATACAGAAGCACTGACTTGACTGATTAGTGTTGAAAACTGGATGTTGTTCACGCTTTATGCTGATGCAGTGAAGTAGATGTCCACACTGGTTTCAGGTTGATGAACGCCTGTCTTGCTGTCTTTCCGATCCTGGCTGGCTTTGATGTCCTCGTTTGTACCGCCTTAGTTGAAAAAGTGCTGACTAGGCAGGTAGGTAGGTAGGTGAAAGAGACTACCTCCTTTAAGTATCTCCCGTTCATGGTGATTGGTGCTTGTGGCTGTGGTTGTTGTTGTTGGTTGGGTATCTTCATCACCTGTATCTTCTCTACATCACTTGAAGTCCCATCTTCGCTGCCCTACCTTGCCTCTTCTGTCAAGTTGTTAGTTTTCGCCTGTACATCTTCGAGTTTGTGTGACATTAGACTCAAGTCATCACTGGCGAAATCTAAATCTTCTATGGTGTTTTCATCGGTCCAGCGTATCCCCCCTTCTCGCTTCTCACTGTTTGCTGCATGATCCAGTCAACCACAATCAGGAAGATGATCGGTGATAGTAGACAGCCTTGTTTTACTCTTGTCTTTACTTTAAAAGCATCACTGAGCTTTCCATTATGGATCACTTGGCATGTGACGTCTTCATACAGCATACAGCTACTGCTGAATGCGGTTGATAAATGTTTGTAGCACTAAAAGTGCAGTGTTGAAGTAGCTGCCTGCCAAATTACTTCTCAGTCGACATCTCAATCGAAGGCCTTTTCAAAGTGAATGAAGTTGAGGTAGAGTTGAGTTGATTCTCATTCTATGCTTTAAAAATATGTAATCTAATATTCATTCTTTTTTTTCTAACTAGTTTACATCAAGTGAATGTCTTGATATAGTTGAATCGCCTGACTCTCAAATAAGTGTATTAAAACAAGACTGTTACAATCATTTGAAAACTGAACAAAATAAAAGTCAACGAAATAGTATTCATCAACTGAAACAATCGCATAACGTAAGTAATAACCTTTTTTGTTCAATACAAATATCTGAAATAACTTTAGTTTCGTTAATCCATCTAAATATGTAAAAGGTTAATGATTGAAGTTATTCAAAGTTACCTCGCCATCATCCATCATCCAGATCAACCTAGGACCAGGCATTACTGCTTAACAGTCCAACTTGCCACACCTCATATCAGTAAATCAAGTAAAAAAAAAGGCAGTGAGGCTCAAGATGAACATAAGAGAAATCAGTCAAAAGAAGTATAAACTCCAAAAAGAGAGAAATGATGAATGAGAAATGGTGAGATACGGTATGGCTTAGTTAAGATGAGGATAATGTATGTATACATCTGCGCCACTGACACCGGTTCTCACCCACATCACCTAGAGTCTCCAACCACTGGTTCTTCTTGTCCCGCAGACCCCAATCACTTAGTCTGCATTGCCCCATATGGCTCAAACCAACAGTCAGAGACTTCATACATTGATGCCATGTTTTAGTCTGGCCACCTCGAGCCTTTTTCCAGCCTGAACCTACTTCAGCCAACATTGTATGACGAGGCAATCGGTGACTAGGCATACGTAACACATTTCCCACCCATCTCAGTCGATGAAGGTTCACAACCTCGTCAACCGACTTATCTCTTCTCCCTAAAACTCTATACCTGATGTCTGCATTACTCATGTGGTGGCACCACGGAATACGGCCTATACTACGAAGGCAACAGTGGTCAAATACCTGAAGCCTTCTTATGTCTTCCACCTTCAATAATCGTGTTTTACAGCCATACAGTAGAACAGACCGGACTGCTGTGCAGAATGTTACCTCGTCTAAATTCTCGTATGACTTCAAGTTTTCTGTCAACATCCCATTATGGTTAGAGTTATAAACAATATTTGTGATGGTGTATTCAGTAAATTGGAACCACAAAAAGTACAAAGATTTGTTCATTTTAAACATAAGTTAAGCATAAGAAGTTATCGGAAAACGCTCACAGCTTCATAGAAGTTAGATAAGAAGAAAGACATGAAATTCTTATGATTTCCGAATGCTTCCTCCAAGATTTCAAGATCAGATAATCGGTGCATTTAAAAAGTCTAATCTTAAAAGAGATTTTATTCATACAAACCCATAGGCGATAGTACTTTGATACTATTACTTACAAGTATAAATTCCTTCATTTACTTTTAGTTCATTTTTCAAGGTTTATCGTGAAATTTTTTGTACTTCGGTAAAAGATATTGCCAACTTAGCTTCATCAGTTACATATTTTTCCTGATTTATTATTATTATTATTATTACTGCTTATCCCTTGGGTTCCTAGCAGAACATACAGCTTCAGTAGCATGTCTCCATTTCACTCTCTCCTCTGGAGTCTTCTTAACCTAGCTCCAAGACTACCCAGAACCTTTCATTTCTTCCTCACATGATCTCCTCTATGTTACCCTCGGACGCCCAACTCCTTTCCCATTTGACTTTCACTCGATGGCCTGGCCTGGAACGTGATGTTCCCGAATGGTCTTCTCAGTGTATGTCCAATCCATCTCCACTGCCTTCTGCATATTTGTTAGGCTATGGGTTCTTGGTTGGTTCGCTGCCAACCAAAGTTCCTCCTTGCATACTCTTATTATTCTCGCTATCTGACCAGATCCTCAGAATTGAGTGAGCGTAGGTGGCAGCTGTTTGCGTATGTCTGTAGTTTGTTGAAAACGCTTTTCATAACGCGCTATGTCTCTCAACCACCACATAGCACTGACTTGACTAGTATTAGTGTTGCCAATCTAGATATTGTTCACGCTTTATGCTGAGTGCAGTGCAGTTCACTTACGTTCAGTAAATCTCCACACTGATTTCAGATTAATACAGGAAGGCCTCTCTTGCTGTCTTTCCGATCGTGGTTGGCTTCGACATCCTCATCTGTGCCGCCACCCCCTGTAGTTGAAAGAGACAACTTGCTTTAGATTCCTCCTTTTGATGGTGATTGGTGCTTGTTGTTGTTGGTTGGGTATCTTCATCACCTGTGTCTTCTCCACATTCACTTGAAGGAAGTCCCGTCTTCGCTACCCTGCCTATTGTGCCAACTTGTTAGTTTTCATCTGTAGATCTTCAAGTCAGTGCAACTTTAGACCTTAGACATAAACCATCATCGGTGAACTCCCAATCTTCTAGGATCTTTTCATCAGTCAAACAGCGTATGGCTCTCTTCTCGCTCCTCACAGTTTGTTGCATGATCCATTCCAGTCCATTCGACCACAGTCAGGAAGATGATCGGTGATAGTAGGCGGCAACCTCGGCTTGTCTTACTCCTCTCTTCAATTAGAGGCATCACTGAGCTTTCCATTGTCAATCACTTGACATGTAGCATCATATAGCATATAGCTGCTGTTGAATGAGGTTGATAAAGGTTTGTGGCACTACAACCTCAGTGTTGAAGCAGTGTCAAATTACTTCTTGGTCGAACCCTTGGTCAAAGGCCTTTTCAAGGTCGATCGATTCGAGGTACAGATCTAGTTGACTGGCATTCTATGCTCTATTGTATGATGATGCATAGCGTAGTGTTGCAATGTGATCCTCACATGATTTGTTTTCCCTGAAACTAGCCTGTTCCGGTCGTAATTATTTTCCCTAATTGGAGCTCGTATATTTGAATGCCTACTTAGTTAGATCAACAAAGAATTGAACCACTTTTGAATCCAAGCGTATTGAAAATTAATTCTTACAGTTTTTGCTTGTATTATCTCATCAGAACACAAGCAACAAAATTAAAACTATATCCATCGCACAAGCAGTTAGTATCGTGACTGGCTGGTCTAGTGGACAACGCTCTGACAATTGAAGCCAAGTTCGGGTCGTAGTGAGAACACAATCCCTCACTGGAAGGCAGGTAAATCCAGCTGACGAGTTCAAAATGGGATGAAAAACGCTTTCTAGATTCCACTTCTAGCCATTACCAAACATTAATTTGTAAGATATAAGACGATGTATCGCATTCAATGAAGATACTGACTTCAATCCCTGCTGCATTACAGTGTGAAACATATGCGTTAAAAGTCGCCTCTTTCGTGATTTTGAATATCTTCGTTTTAAGCACGACTAAACAATAATTCTGTGTTCATTGCTAGTTGACTTCGAGATCCCGTTTTTGAATGTATAATTAGACACTATTCAATCTGATGGTCAATAGTCAAGATATACACGCATAAATGATACGAGATAAATGTTAGTTGGTTGGAGCTAATCGGCAGGGCTTCCTACCGACATGCTCGACATCGTCATCAGAGCTTCACAAGAAAGTGATGTAATTATCTATCCATGGATATTTATAATTTTCTGTTTCCTCTGAGTGTAATTTGATTGGTCGCTTAATGAACGCATTGGCGAATACTGAACCTGGCTGGTTCTGTACAACTATATGATTGGTTGGTTCTTTTTGTTTGCTTGTATTGCATTGAGATCGCTTCGTTGTGATTGGTGTCCGAACTTCGTATGAACAAGCTGATGAATGTTGTCGTAATGTGATTGGTTAACTTGTATGTGTTGGAAAGGGTTACTTCACACTAGTTAGTTGACTTACTCCGGCTGGATGGGTTGTCTTCGCTACTGCTGGTTGGTTAGATTTAGCATCATGTCTTGATATATTAATCGAAGATGCTGACAAGAAAGTTACTTGAAAGTAAAACCCTTAGATTTTAAGCTTATTTGAAAACATTTTCTCATTTGCACACACTGAAAATTTGCCTATGATCTATATAATCCATCAGTTGAAACTAAAATGTTGAAGCAAGTCTCTCTAACCAGATCCCAATGCTTAAAACGTTACGAGATAACTGAAGACTAATCCTTAAATCTAGTTTCCTTGTTTCTTAATACGCATTACTAAGTCATATCTGAAATATATTACAGAAATTTATTTCACCTACGAAGAACTGAGTCTACATCAGTCAATTTTTCAAACCAACGCCCATACCGATAAACTACTTAGATTAGCATAATAATATGACAATTTTCTCTAGCTGAAAATATTTCAGTTATTTTTTTGATAGTGTTTTTTAAGTTGTTATTCATCGTAGACTGACATCAGTTGGAGGAACAAAGGAAACCTGGGAGCATTGGACAGCTGTTTCATCCGACTAGTATGCGACTCCTCATCAGTCTACGATGAATAACAACTTGAAATATTTCCAAATCTCCACAACTCCCTCAAAATTTAATTCAACTGGTGCTCATTGGTGACTAGCTTCGAGAAGTATTCCCGAAGTTCCAATGAGAAGTCGTAACCGGTGGAGTCAAAGTCTGATGGCCATGAGGACAGATACTCAACGATGACATTGGGTGGCGGTTGCGCTATATATCGTGAGCTAACAGAAGTTGGAAATATGGAGCATTGGATTGTGACCCAGTGGCTGAATGGTAACGCGCTGGCCGTGGAACCTGAAGGTCGCGGGTTCGATCGTTGGTGGTGTGGGGTGGTGGGTGCGCACTGCTGAGGAGTCCCATACTAGTCGGAGGAAACAGCTGTCCAGTGCTCCCAGGTTTCCTTTGTTCCTCCAATTGATGTCAGTCTACAATGAATAACAACTTGAAATAATTCCAAATCTCCACAACTCCCTCAAAATTTAATGTTTTTTAGTTCGAATCTGGATTGAATAATGAAGGGAATTATCATGATATTGACAAAACACCAGCTACTTCAAGATCTTATAAACGAAGTAAACTTTTCTATCCTAATTGTCATTATGCATCTATGGGACGATGTTTAGATAATTCTCATAAACAATCTGTACTCGAATCGTCATTTGAAACAATATATGATCAGACGAAAATTTGGTGATTAAACAAGTAAGATATATTATATGAATATGTTGGTTTTGTAAAGTGTATACATGAGGTACAATTTCTTCTCTCCTTAAGGTAAAAAAAACACTTACAGGTATCTTGATAAAGTGATGTAACTGATTAAACTCTCTTAGATTAACATTTTTCTAAAGGAACAGGAGAAACAGAAGTGACAAAATATACCCATTTATTCACTAACAAGGACAAGGCATATATCAGCGAAGAAGAAATATTTCTACCCAATGACTTCATTATCAAGCTGTACAGTAGTTGTATTTATACTCAGTAAAGTGACAGGTAATTACACTAAAAAGGGAGTTGCTCAGTCAATATGTTCAGAAGATACGATGGATGCTGAAATCGAAACTCTTACAATAATACTATCTAATAACGGATACTCTAAGAGATTTATTGATAAGAATCTGAAGAAACGAATCACTCTTCATCTCATTACAGTCCCTAAGAGAATTTTAACCATGAATCTAGAATTCAATAGGAGACACTACAGTCGAAGTGCTGAAAAGTCGTCTGTCAAGATGTATCAATAGTAGCTTCTATGCTGCTAAACTGACATTGATATTCTGTAGCCGCCTTCTGATTCGTCAATGTGTATCTACATGTTCACATGCTCCTGTGGAGCTGACTATATTGGACGTTGTAAGTGGGCCCTCTGAAAACGTGTTGCTGAACACTACCCGGTTTAGCTTATCACAGGTGAGCAAAGGAAAACGATTTCATCTATATGTGAACATCTTATTGAATTGGGTCATTCAGCACCTCAAGATTCATCCTTGAAAATAATTTACAAAGTTAAATTGAACTACTCCAAAGGAGTTTACATTTCCACCACTTATGCATAACTGAAGCATTAGCTTATACATGAACAAAAGGCAAAAACCTTTTGTGAAACCACACTTTCTCTACCTTGGCCATAACAATTCCTTGTTGGTTACTTTTGTCAATTTCACTTCACTACGGTTTGGTAAACTTCTATTATCATCATGATCATCATTATCACCAATTTTCACTTCATTGACAACATTTAACCCATATTTCACTAGTTAACATTATCAATTCATTCCTTATTCATTGACTTATTTCACATGTTTCAGCTTAATTATCACCATTGTACAACACACCTTTGACAACACTTGTCTCTTATCTCATCAGTTATAGGTAGCACAAAGCGCACACTTTTCAAACGTATCTCTAAACACTATCCTGAATGTAAATCAATTAACAGTTCAATTCTTGAATATCTGGTCAACTGTGGACATAAAGCTAGACTAGAATCCTCCTACAGTGTTTTTTATCATGTCAAATGGAATAGTTCAATAGGAGTAGGACTTTAACAGTTGTGCACAGCGGAGGCACTGGCAATTCATCAATTCAAGCCTGATCTCTGCGTACAAACGAAGAAGTATGTTCAATCTCTCATCTTACCATGATCTTAACACTTTCATAATGTCTTCGATTTCATTCTAATTAGTTAGATTGTTATCATCACCTTCATTATGACCCTTGTCTCATTCTTCACCTTCTCTACATCCATCCATCTATCTATCTATCTACCAAGTGGACACTCAATATTCGCGTTTCTTATCTACCAACAATTTTCACCTTGTCAAACTCCTCGCCTTCCTCGATATTTCTACTGACTTAGATTATTACGCAACTACTTTGCATTCTTGATTCTGGTTCGTTTTTTAGCACTAGGTTAATGATGTAATTATACCCTATTGTTTTATAATCGACTGTTATGTAGACTGTTTATGATATATACATGAATACGATTGTACAGCTTTAGAAAATGATATCGTGGAAAAAGAATATTTTCTTCGCCCAATTATCTCTTCTCTATGACGCAATGGGCATGTTTCGTAGTGTTATCAATTCGTTCCTCCTTATTCACAGTGACCCATTTTCTATCTCTTCTACTTGAACAACCCCCACCTCCATCGATTGTATATTTTGCATATTAATTGAGCAACTCCCTTTTCAGTGTAATTGTCTGTCACTTTACTGAGTATAAATACAACTACTGTACAGCTTGATAATGAAGTCATTGGCTAGAAATATTTCTTCTTCGCTGATATATGCCTTGTTCTTGTTAAACGAACAGAAGTCGAGGAATTCGACCGTGTATAACAATCGCAAATTACAAGTTTCATTACAACAAATAATACCCGTGGTTATTGTGCCACATTTGCTGATGCCAAAGATATTGGCTTCGAACATCACTGACTGAGGTACAGGTACACTTAGCTGATGAGTCTCAAATAGGTCGGAGCATGCATCAAGCTAGATTCCTCTTTTAGTCACCAAGATCAATAATAGCATTTGAATTTTTTTGTTTTAATGACACTGGACAGATGTTCTGTCTTAGTTTGAGACTTCTCAGCAGTGTACACTCATGATCATCGAGTCTAGAGACCCCAAAATCTGACGGTCTACATTTTCCTTCTTCTGTCAATCCATTCAATGTCATTGTTATCTAGTTTTTTTTTCAGACCAGATTTGATTGACCTCACCAGTCACGGCTTCTGATTAGAACTTCGACAAACTCATTTTGAAAGTGTTCGTAATGAACAGTGGACGGTAACTGCGATCAATAAATCACCAGAAACAAAGAAACCGAATTTTGAGGGAGTTGTGGAGATTTGGAATTATTTCAAGTTGTTATTCATCGTAGACTGACATCTGTTGGAGGAACAAAGGAAACCTGGGAGCACTGGACAGCTGTTTCCTCCTAGTATAGGACTTCTCAGCAGTCTACGATGAATAACAACTTGAAATAATTCCAAATCTCCACTACTCCCTCAAAATTCAATTCAACTGGTGCTCATTGGTGACTAGCTTCGAGAAGTATACCCGAAGTTCCAATGAGAAGTCGTGACCGATGGAGTCAAAGTCTGATGGTCATGAGGACAGATACTCAGCGATGACATTGGGTGGCGGTTGCGCTATATATCGTGAGCTAACAGAAGTTGGAAATATGGAGCATTGGATTGTGACCCAATGGCTGAATAGTAACGCGCTGGCCGTGGAACCTGAAGGTCGCAGGTTCGATCGTTGGTGGTGTGGGGTGGTGGGTGCGCACTGCTGAGGAGTCCCATACTAGTCGGAGGAAACAGCTGTCCAGTGCTCCCAGGTTTCCTTTGTTCCTCCAATTGATGTCAGTCTACAATGAATAACAACTTGAAAGAAACTGAGTGCTAGTAATGGGTTTTAAATAAAGTGAAGTTGAAAAACGCTGAACCATTGACTGTATAATCACATGCTCAACACGAAGGCCTTTGAGTATTTGAAATCTTACGGTGTTACTAAAAACTCAGCATAACTCAGGAACTGTAAGCTGGAATGAAAGATTTTTCAAATAGTTTAACTGCCTATAGCTTTGGAGGTGGTGATTGTCTATCTGCAAATTGTGGGTGTGTTTATTTTGGGCAGCAACGGAATTAACGATTTGATCATTTAAGCTTTAACAAGTTCTGTTTCGTAAGCACTTGCAAGTAAGTATTAAACATTACTTAAAGTGCTTGAAACAGGTTAAGTGGGGAATTGATACGTAGCGACAAAAGGCAGCCAATTGGGGAGTTTTCAAGTCGTGACCAGATCACGTTCAGGTCATGATTTATGCATGCGCTGACATGATTAGAGAAATTCGACCTCATACAAGAAATCTGATTGGTTCACTTGTGGCTTCACTTCCAGAGAGTTTCGTAACTACATATTTGTCATGTATTTGTCTAATAAAGGTTGTTGTCGCTGTTCTGGCAGTCACAGGCCGTCTTTGTCTTCTGATTTTCACGCGGCTCAGTGAAGCAGAAGGTACTAAGGGAGGTCAGTCGTAAAGGTATTCGGTTGAGGTGTCTATTGGGTCCCAGTATTCATTATACCCACGCGCGCAACCCCACCACTCGGTCACAACAGGAATGAGAAACAAAGGAATGAAAACTATTCATGGGAAAATAAGTGTTACTGCGATGGGTCTTATTGCACATACTAGAGTTGGAGAATACAGAGGTGGATGAGTTTCCCTTCAGTAGCTACTGATGAATGTTCATGGTAAGCAGTTCGTGCTCACATACTTGCCCAGCATTCGTTTGTAGGAGTCAACAGATGTAGCTGTGGCTACTTCCTTCTGGAGAGCGTTTCATAAAGAAAGCACTCTATGTGAGACGTTTTACCTCATTCTCGTCTTTTCCCTCCGGTGAGGTATGCGAGTGGGGTTCCTGCGAGACTGTCGGTTTTCGACCGATAATGTTGACCTGTTTGGGAAAATCACATTGTGAATGATCTTGTAGGCTGTTATTAGGTCACCGCTTTTCTTTTGATAGCTTAATGTAAATAAGTTGAGTTTTCTAAGGCGTTGCTCATATGGTTTACCTGTTAATCCAACAACTGACCTTATCGATTTTTTCTGCACATTCTCGACAGTACTTGCGTCTCTCTTTAGTAGAGGACGTCTTCCGGTTACGGAAATCAGTTGACTACTTGTTATAGTGTGCAGAAAGATCGACACAATTTTCACAAGAAGCCGAGTATGCTTATACCCTTTTTCAACCAATCACTTTGCTTTCAAGTTTTGAGAGAACACACTTGAATCAACTTGTAAGTATCAGGTTGGTTGAAGAGAGGGAAAATCACTAGGATTTAAACCTATAAAGGCTTGGAAATACCCAAGGTCATTTTAGTACGTATAAACATTATAGTTTGTATATACTGTTTGACGTTGTAAATGCACCTTCTGGAATATTACCACCTTTTTTCTATGATGGAAGATCTGAGCGAACATTAAGGGTGGAATCTAAAGGTATTGTGCACGCGTCAGCAAATACACAATTCAGGGTATATCAAGTCACGAAAAAAATGTAGTACCTGAAGTTATAAAACTACTCGTAGACCATTCAAATGTACACCATAAATTTGACCTTGACCTTGAACACTTCGTTTAAACACTGTACAAGAGATAAAGCTTCACGTTAATATGAATGCCTGGAAAATAAATTTATTTCGACGATATAACATCTAACATAATGGGTATATACAAGGAGAAGAATAAAACATTAGTTTAGTGCTTGTCTATATTGCGCAACAACCAAAAATTATTTTATCAGTACACTTCTTGTTGATAAGGCAACAAGAAATAATAACTTTGCCTTCATTACATAAGCAGAGTCTTTTCCTTTGATACAAGCAAGGATTTCCATTCTAAAGTAATAAAAGTGTTATTACTTACCATAAGATTGTTTTCCAGTTGTCTTAAAATTAATACACCAGTTTTTATTTCCTGAAGACTAGACATTCTGATTTATTACGGCAATTAAATACTCTAGGGTGTTAGTGCTATTCAATAGATGAAACAACCATTGATCAGGTGCGTACACAATGCGCACTAACACTAAGACACCAAAAGAAAAAGGGAAGGTAGAACTTAACAGCCTTGTCCAAATAGCTTAGTGGATAACGCTCCAGCGTATGAAGCCATGGGTACAGAGTTCGAGTCCGAGTCGGAACAACATCACTCTCTGAGGTGCAGGTACATCTACCTGACGAGTCGAACGGAACGCAAGTCAAGCTGGTTCCCTCTATTAGTCACCAAAATCAATATAAAATCATGATTATCCAGGAGTATAGGAGCATTCACATAGGAGCCCATCAGTAAACAAAGGTTGAGCAATTTGACCCTGTATTAGAACGTGAATTCACAAATATCATAACAACAAAATGAGGAATGTTGACACTGAGGAATTTAATGAATAGTATACTCTAGAGTGTATTTTGACCTTCCGTAGTTTTAATTCTGAACTATTCATATTGGCTTGTGAATACTTTATAAAACTACTGAATGTTTCTCTTACCTGAACCATCTCAAATATACATTGTCATAGTGATATGGAATTAAGAGACATTTCCACTAGAATTCCTTATTTCCACCAACTAAAACCAGGAAGGACACTGATGACAGGCAATTGCATTCTTTTCTTTTGCGGAAAAGTACTTTTCCAGGCAAAATACCGAAGCTTGATTGGTTATTTCACTAGTTGTTGAGGTGGCCTTTAAAGACATTCAACCAATCAAATTTTGAAATTTCAACTGAGAAGGTAGTTTTTCATAGAAAAGAAGAACATAATTGTTTATTTCAGCAGTTGCTGTAGTGTGGACTTTTAAGTTACTCTGAGACCCACCCCATCAACTATCAATGTAGCAAATTATACGTCTTTATTTCAACTGTAAAGGCAGATTGTCATCGAGTGAAGATGGCTAATTGTTGATTTCGAGTAACTTTGAAGGTTACCTTAGTAACAACTGAAATAAATAATTAGACTTTCGTATTTAATGAAAGCTCCCTTTCCAATCGAAATATAGAAACGCAATTGGTTATTATGATTATTGCTAAGGTGACCTTTAAAGTCAGTCATAAAATGACTAGGTTCAAACCGAGAGCATAGCCTTGCTCGATCATCATCACTAAAGTTTTATGCCTGCGTCAAAATCTTTTTACGCCAGTTAAGGAGTTACTTCTGAAGCCATCTCAATTGGGTATCTTGACCCCGTAGGGAAAACCATCCCTATTACAAGAAAGACGGACCAAATTTAGAGAGTAAAAGGAGCGATTCCAAAGTCCCCCCCTCCTAACGATTAAAATAACCAAAAAGGTTTCTCTCTTTTTGGCTGAAATGCTAGTTTCCTCATGAAATGAAGATGTCTATGTTGTTGCTTGTCTTAAACTATCGTTGAGTGGACCGAACTGATCGATCCCTATTGACATATGAGCTCCTGCGCAGACGCGCTTGCTTGTTGTTTCAATTTTATAGTAGTAATGGATAATGGCTAACAATGGGATCCAGGACGCGCTTTTGTCCAACTGTCGGGACTTGTCAACTGGATGTACCTGCCTCCCGGTAAGTGGTATTATTCCCACCACAACTCAAACCGGTACCGATCACTTCGAACGCCAAGTCGTTATTCACTAGACCACTGAATCAGATGGTAATTTACTAGTTGCTACAGTGACCTTTAGAGTCATACGAGTAAGAGAATGTTGTTTTGGCAAACTCAGCAATCTCCTAACAGTACAAATCTATGT